TGGTCAGGGAGATAGAGGGAAGCCTGCTGGGGGCATCTGGGCAAAAGTTTCTGCTTCTGGACAACCAAGGATAAACAGAGTGACCCGCCTCTTCAACTTCTCTCCTACCTAGTACCTAGAGGTGACATCAGAAGCTGCAGTAGCCACTCTGTGACCACAAAGGAAGAAAGGATGAATGAGATGCGGGCCAAGAAGAGAGCAGAGCGAGTGACATAGGATCTGCATAGTTCCAGAGCAGGGCTGCAGGTGCTTTCTTATTTTTTTTTTTTTTTTTAAATTATCTCCACTCCCTCCGCGCCTCCCACAGCACCCCCCCACAGCCAGTGGTCAGGGAGATAGAGGGAAGCCTGCTGGGGGCATCTGGGCAAAAGTTTCTGCTTCTGGACAACCAAGGATAAACAGAGTGACCCGCCTCTTCAACTTCTCTCCTACCTAGTACCTAGAGGTGACATCAGAAGCTGCAGTAGCCACTCTGTGACCACAAAGGAAGAAAGGATGAATGAGATGCGGGCCAAGAAGAGAGCAGAGCGAGTGACATAGGATCTGCATAGTTCCAGAGCAGGGCTGCAGGTGCTTTCTTATTTTTTTTTTTTTTTTAAATTATCTCCACACCCAACGTGGGGCTCGAACTCACGTCCCAAGATCAAGAGTCCCATGTTCCACTGACTGAGGCTGCCGGCCATCCCTAAAGCAGAGCTTCTTCCTCTGTAATGTGCACGGGAGTCACAAGTGATTTTCACTCGGGAGGTCTGGGGTAGGGCTTATCATTCTAGCACCACTTCCCCCAAGGGCTTCTCATAATGGGTACTTAATACCACCTATTTCCTTTTAACCTCTGAAGTTCCTAACATTCTGAAGACTACTGAATGTGCGTGCCGATTCTAGTTGTTAACAACTTCACTTCCAATGTGCCTCAGAACAGCCAAGTACAATGTAAAATGAAAACCATTTACAAATGAAGCATCCTGTGATGTAAGCATCCCCACGAAGGGCATTTCAAAACCAACCAACCAATCAGCCACAGGCAAGTGGGCAAAAAGAACTATTCTGAGAGCTGCCCTCGGTGGTTTTAACTTAGCACATTCGCTCAGCATGACGTCGTCCTTCAGTGCCAGCCTGTTTAGTAACCCATCATCTAGGGTCCTGCAGTGGGATTTGGCCAAAGAGCCCTTCAGCAGTATATAATTTGGTTTCAACATCAAGTTCACCGTGAGAGTATATAAACACCACACGTGTAATTTACGATTCACAGATAGAAAACACTGCCTGGATGTTTTTAGAACACATCACCCCTGGGGAAGCTATAGAATGGAAATGCCACCTAGGTGCACAGTTCAATGGTTTTTCTTGCCATCTTAAAATTGACACCACTCTCTCTCTATTGAGGGCATATGGGAGGATGTCCTTGCTGAGAATGTGGAAAGGAAATAGGAAAGTTTTCATTTGTTCTTCCTCAACATTGTCACAAAGCAGTTTAAAAAAGGAAAGGAAAAAAACCTCACCACAAATGGAGACCTACCCAAAAAAAGTCATGTTTCCTCTGTTTTTAAATGGAAGTGCCTTTCTTTCTTTTCTTAAGAAAAACATATCAGGTCTTTCTTCGCGGCCATAATGGTGCGCACGAACATCCCGGCTGACGCTCCCGAGAGCGTTAACAGAGCCGAGAAGAGAGGCAAACGCCAGGCACTTGATAAGCCAGGCTCCGAATTCCACGTCCAGTTTCTCCCCGTGATGATGCAGCGGCAAATCTGCGATCACTGATGATCACAGAGCTGGCAACATTGCCGTGAACCTCACAGGCAGGTCAGACAACTGTGGTGTGATCAGCCCCAGATCTGATCTAGAAAAATGGCAGAATAATCTGCTCTCATCCCACCAGTTTGGTTTCACTGTACTGACAACCTCGGCTGGCATCATGGACCATGAGAAGAGGCAAGGTGAAAATACACAGGAGGGAAAATCCTGGGATTCTTTTTCTTGGGATGTAACATATACATGCAAATAAAACATCTCAATGGATTAAAAAAAATTGGAGATGCAGAACAAAAACCCAATAGCAGAGAATTAAACACCTTTTAAGGATGTGAAGTGTAAAAACTAATATTAAATGGTAGGAAGGGAAGGGAATAATGGTGGGGGGCGCATTCTAAGAGGTGTATCCCAATTCATTAGTTTGGTTCTAGAAAGTCTTCCTCAGCCCATGTTAGGTATGGGTAGGTGACACTTGCTTTTTAACTTTACAGATTTCTGTACTGTTTATACCTTTTATTATTATTATTATTATTATTATTATTATTTTTAGAGAGAGCATGGGGGCAGATGGCTTGGAAGTTGTGAGACTGAGGCTTGCACCAGACTCTGCGCTCATGGGGAAGTCTGCTTGAGATTCTCCCCCTGTCCCTCTGCCCCTCCCACTCAAGCCTGTGCTCTCTCTCTCAAATGAAATAAATAAATCTTAAAAAAAAAAAAAAAAAAAAAAAAAAGGACGCTTAACCGACTGAGCCACCCAGGCACCTATTTTTATCTTTTAAATTTAACAGTTAACAGGTTATGATTTCGGGGTGCCTAGGTGGCTCAGTTGTTAAGCGTCTGCCTTCGGCTCGGGTTACGATCCCAGGGTCCTGGAATCAATCCCCACATCGGGCTCCCTGTTCAGCGGGAGACCTGCTTCTCCCTCTCCTCCTCCTCCTGCTTGTGTTTGTTCTCTTGCTGTGTCTCTCTCTACCAAATAAATAAATAAAATATTTTTAAAAAGAGGTTATGGGGAGCCTGAGTGGCTCAGTGGGTTAAGCCTCTGCCTTCAGCTCAGGTCATGATCTCAGGGTCCTGGGATCAAGCCCCACATCGGGCTCCCTGCTCAGCAGGGAGTCTGCTTCCCCCTCTCTCTGCCTACTTGTGATCTGTCAAGTAAATAAATAAAATCTTTTTAAAAAAAAGAGGTTATGATTTCTGTAATGTCAAAAAATAACAGGTCCAGAAGAATACATTCTTAACACCGCTGTTCTTAGCAAGTTCAAAAGCAAGGTAAACAATAGAAGGATTTAGGAAATTACACGCATGTGAAACATCTATAAAGAAAGTACAAGGGGGTGCCTGGCTGGCTCACTAGGGAGAGTGTGTGACTCTTGATCTTGTAGTCATGAGTTTGAGCCCCACATTGGGCACAGGGAGGGAAGGAAGGAAGGAAGGAGGAAGGAAGGAAAAATATGGGAATTTAAAAAAATGGGTTACCTTCTGGAAGGCAGACAGGGATTAGGGAGGAATGTAGATGTGTCAAACGAGGGTACTAGTAATGTCCACTTATCAAGCGGGGGGGGGGGTAGTATTTTGCATAATTTACACAAATGCCATATACATTATTTTGTACCAAAGAAACTCTAGGGCTTTTCTTAATGCGAAGTGGAGAAGAGAAGGGAGGCAGATCAAGTCCAAGGACCTGTCTCTTCTAGTCTCACGAAAGCCTATCTTCCCCATTCAAACTACCCCCCTCCCCGCCCTGAGGCAGCTCAATTTCCACCCGTGTGGCTCTTCGCAGCCCTCCCCAGGTTTTATTGTAGGCTTCCTATAAAGCATGGGTCTGCAAACTTCTTCTGTAAAAGACCAGACTGAAAATAGTTTAGGCTCTGCAGATCCGACAGTCCCCATCACAACTACTCAATGCCGCCCCTACAGCATGAGGGCAGCCAAAGGCAAATTGTCACGAATGCATGCGGCTGTCTACCAAGAAAATCTTATCAAAACAAGCAGGAGAGGAGATTTTGCCCATAGTTTGCAGACCCCTGCTTTGGAGTCAAGTCTAGAATGTGTTAAAAAAAAATCATTCCTAAACATCAGGCCAAAACACCCATTCATACACAGCTATCGGTTTCCCTAAAAGCTTCTCAATATTTTCACCAAGTACAAGGTCTAGGATTAATCACCATGGGGTGGATCTTCCTGCAGGAGGAGAGAAGGAAAACAGGATGGGCTGAAGACCAAAGTGTCTCTTAGAGTTGCCAAGTTGTTTTCAGCATTATTAATCTCAGATCCCATCAACCGCCCTGTGCCTGCATTAAAATGCCTCCTTGGGAGAATAAAGTTAAGACCTCTCTACTAGTCCTTCACATTTAAATATACTAATGCTTTTTAAAGGGGTGCAGGAGGTCTCCCGAAAGCCCTTAAGAATTACAGGGACCACAGTGCAAACCAAAGTGCTTATCTTCTGCTTATGGGTCAAGGGATTGTTGTACCAAGTAAAGATACACAGACCATCCTTTAGTTCCTTTCGTGATCATTTTCAGAACATTCTTCAGGGCTTTGGTAGATTTTATTTCTATATTTTACATAACAAAAGATACGAACTTTAAATTTTCTTTTAAATTTAAGAAGCCCATAGAAAATGAGAAAAAAAATTTGCTTCCATCTGGTGGTAGGAGCACATACTACAGGCAAAGCAGTTTATGAACAATCTCCTAGAGGATAAAGAGAGGGAAAAGTCCCAAAAAAAAAAAAAAAAAAAAAAAAAAAAAAAAAAAACCCCAAATCACAATCTGTGTCTCCATCTGCTGGCAGATACTACACACTACAGCCACAGCCCAGGGCTGGGCAATCAGGACAGCAGGCAGTGAGGACAGAAACCGCCTCGTGAATTCCCAAGGCAGGACAGGTCAGCTATTTATAAACTACTGTTTGAAAGAACATAATTCAGTTACAACGTTCTATCCTTAACAAATATAAATTTCAATAAAATACATGCAAATTTCAAAATATAAAATTCTTATTGAGACTTTTGGGGAAAAAAAACAGTTAAGTAGTCTACCTGTGTAAAGTATTTCCCATCCTGTTTCAGTACTTTCATCGAGAGGTCAAGAATCAGTCTGAGAAACTCCCATGTGGAATCTGGATGTTAAAAAAAAATTTTTACATTATATAAATATAGGCTTGCATGCATCAGAAACAACATCTAAAAAGTCAAATATCCACATTAATATTCAACAATACCCCAAAAAAAGAAAGAAATAGCCAAGAGCTTAAGACCTAATATTCAAGAGCATTTACTGTCATTTTTGGGGAGTCCTGCACACACGTGCACATACTCAAGCAAGGTCAAAAGCAAGTATTCATGTGCTTAGCACTGCTTTAACGATACCAATAAAGATTTGACCAGAAATGCATTGGTTGAAATCTGAAAGACAACAGCTTAAGAGGGGAGCAGGACATCCCAAGAGAGAAACAGCAAGGGTCATCACACGGGGACCCGGTCCGCAAGCTCAGCGGGAAGGCAAGATTATGGGAAAAACACTAACTCTGACACGCCAAACCAGCAGTGATGTGGAGTGTGTGGTTTGAGAATGGGGAACTGTCTCTGGTGTTGTTTAGAAAGCTCACCAGTTTGTCCCAGTACAGGTTAAAAATCACGTAACAGAAATAAATCCCCAAACAAGCTAATTTGTCAATGATGTGATTAGGAGTCATTTCATTTAGTGTCTCTCTCCAACGACTGAGTAAATGTGCTCATTTAGTGTCTGAAATCCAACCATCTTTCCACCGTGGGCCTCAGCTGAACTACCTTGAAAAACTGAAGGAACCAATCAATGAAGGAGACCATCTCTAAGAACCTTCTGTTCTCACAAGGTGCTAAGTAAAACATTTTCATGAACATTATCTCAGTTATAACAGAAAAAAACACAATCTACCTTCTTCTGGAGATGTGGAGATCGGAACAGCTGTCAAATCATTAATCACATAATCAAACTCTCTCCCTTCTTTGGCGTACCTCTTCAGTACTGGGATACAGTCTTCTATTAGAACCTTCCAAAGAGAAGAGGAACAGACACACGTGAGCCGACTCATGCGGGTGGAAGCGCTGAAACCCTTGGGGAGGGGAGTGGGAAATGAAACTGCTGCTGGCAGCACATGGCCTGCCTGTGAGCAAAAGTGACTTCCAGCCGAGCCTCTACGGCTACAATTCCGTGCCTGCTAGAGGCTTTGTCTGCCTTCTCACTTCATCCAAGCAACATATCTACAGGTACTCTTATTAGCCACACTGTACAAATGGAAAACCAAAGTTAAGAGAGGTTACAAAGGGGCACCTGGGTGTCTCGACTTAACCCAGTTAAGCTTCTGACTCAGGTCATGAGCTCAGGGCTGTGAGATCGAGCCCCATGTTGGGCTCCACGCTGGGAGAGGCATGGAGAGCCTGCTTAAGATTTTCTCTCTTCCCTCTGGCTCTCCACCCCTTCCTCTCTAAAGAAAAATAGAGAGAATATATAGTGTTTGCTTCAGCTGCACACACACTACAATTGGAATGATACAGCGGAAGATGAGCATGGCCCCTGCACAAGGACGAAACACAAATTCCTAAAGGGTTCCTTACTTTTGAGAGAGAGAGGGAGGGAGGGAAAAAGGGGGGAAGGCCGGAGGGGTTACACAGCTTGCCCAAAGGTCCCGGTAAGAAATGAAGCCAAGAAGTACACCTAGATCTATATGAAAGCCAAGTTCATACTTTTAACTCTAGTCTATGGTCTCTCCTACTACTGTCTCTATTTTCTTCTACTTTTACTTTTTCTTCTATGCTAGGCACTGAATGGCTTCACTGTCTATTGATTTTTTGCATCTCATCTCAAACTTTTAACCTACAGTTTTTCTTTTCTTCTTTTTTTTTTTAACCACTTAGAGTACTATTGGTAAGACAACCATGTAAGAAATACCAACTCCCACAATCACAATTATTAACAAGTATAGTAGTTAAGAACTGGAATTCTCGAACAGATCCTGTGCAATAAACACATTTATCCTTGAACAACATGGGTTTGAACTGTTATTCGCTTATTATTCACAGTTTTTTCTCTCCTAATACAGTAAATAGGTATTCACAGTATTTTTTTTCTAATACAACACTGTAGAAGTATTTTCTCTTCCGTATGATTTTTCTCAATCACATTTACTTTTCTCTGGCTTATTGTACGAATACAGTACATAATACATATAACATACAAAATGGGTTCACTGACTATGTTCTTGGTAACACAACCAATCAACATTATGTTACGTATGTTAAGTTTTGGAGGAGTCAAGTTATATTGCAGATTTTGACTGTGTGGTGGGGGGGAGCAGGACCCCTAACCCTCATGGGTCAACAGTACAGAAACTCGGTTTGGGGCCTGCCTTCACTTCTCTAGTTACACCACACTTAACTCATGAAAACCAAGTTCATGGAAGTCAGAGGTCAAGTTTGCCAGAATTCCCTAAAATAACCTATTCCAGAATTTTTCCTCTGAACGTCCTTACACAGATCCTCAGTCACAATTTGAAGAACCTGATCTCACAGCCCTATTGTTTTATAACCTGCTTCACTTAATGCGTCATCTAAGTGCAACCACACAGAGATCAAGACACTAATCAATCCCGTGGGACATGCACAGTGTTCTATGCTCACATACACTCCTACCAACACACATTCTCACACAGACGCACACGCGGTTCTCTTAGAACTAGGATCACACACATTCTGAACTCGAAAATGTTCATCTAACACCATTCTTGGTAAAGATAGATTTTTTTTCTGGGGGAGGGCTAGTGATATTTCTTAAAATTGTATCATTCCATGAAAAACATACAACTAGGGCGCCTGGGTGGCTCAGTGGGTTAAGCCGCTGCCTTCGGCTCAGGTCATGGTCTCGGGGTCCTGGGATCGAGTCCCGCATCGGGCTCTCTGCTCAGCAGGGAGCCTGCTTCCCTTCCTCTCTCTCTGCCTGCCTCTTTGCCTACTTGTGATCTCTGTCTGTCAAATAAATAAATAAAATCTTAAAAAAAAAACATACAACTACTCTCTAACCTCCTCGTATAGACAGATGCCGGTCTATAGGCCACAATGCGAACTCTGGGTTGCTGAGACCAAAGGCACGTCCATTTCAGTTTTTATAGTTTTGATGACAATTCACACTCCAACTAGCAGTGCACGCGAGCGCCTCATTCTGTTGTGTCCCTCTTTTTTATTTGCCCCTCTTTCTATTCTGTCAGGTCCCTTGCTACTGTTTTCACATGAACTTGCTGGGCCATTAACAGAGGTGAGCATCCTGTTGTAAGTTTATAAGACATACGATTTTTGCCTTCGGAGAAATACTAGTTCACATCCTTTGCTATTTTTCTATTTAGTTATCTTATTTTTTTAAATCTTAAATTGTAGTTTCTGGGTTTCTTGGCTTTCTTTAAAAGGTTTTCCAGCTCTAAGGTTAAATATGCTGAATAAGTTTTTGCACCCAGAGCTTAAGGCATCGGAGATTAATTTTTCTATGGTTTCTAGGGTCACGTTAACTTTGTTCTGATGGAGATGGACAGCTCATCGTGTTGGCATCACCTATGAAATCAACTCAATCTCCTTTTCCCAAGCAAACTGAAATACACCTTAGGTCATCTTTACTTGCACGAATACACACACTCAGACATGTTCAAAGTCTCCGTGCCATTCCTCGGGGTCCTGGGATCGAGTCCCACATTGGGCTCCTTGTTCAGCGGGGAGCCTGCTTCTCTCTCTGCCTGCCACTCGGCCTGCTTGTGCTCACTCGTTCTCTGACAAATAAAAAAATCTTCTTAAAAAAAAGATTTTATATATTAGTCAGAGACCGAGCACACACAAGCAGGGGGAGTGGCAGGCAGAGGGAGAAGGAGGCTCCCCGCTGAGCAGAGATCCTGAGACAAGGGGGCTCCATACCAGGACCCTGTGATCATGACCACAGCCAAAGGCAGGCATTTAACCAACTGAACTACCCGGGTGTCTCAATAAACAAAATATTAAAAAAATTTTTTTTCTTGCCAATACTTAGGTATTTATTGTGACAAATGAAATCGAAAATCATATGACCTAATTCTAAAAACTTCCTTGGGATTCTGATTGGACTTACTTATAATTAGGAAGTTAAAGACATTGTTCTGGTATTCTCATCCTAGAAATGTAACATGCCTCTCCATATATTCCAATTCTTTTTTTTTTAAGATTTTATTTATTTATTTGACAGAGAGAGACACAGTGAGAAAGGGAACACAAGCAGGGGGACTAGCGGAGGGAAAGCAGACTTCCTGCCCAGCAGGGAGCCCAATGTGGGGCTCGATCCCAGAACGCTGGGATCATGACCTGAGCTAAAGGCAGACACTTAATGACCCAGCCACCCAAGAGCCCCTCCATATATTCCAACTACAGTTGTGGTATTTTAGTAAGATCTTGACATAATTCTTATCAGTCCCACAATACCATTCTTAATTAAATATACTCCTATGTATTTAACAATTGGTCATTATTCCTAAATGTGAAACCTGAAAGTACAAAAATCCTAGAAGAGAACACAGGCAGGAACCTCTCTGACATCAGTCACAGCAACATTTTTTGGGATCTGTTTCCTGAGTTAAGGGGATAAAAAGCAAAAATAAACTACTGGGACTACATCAAAATAAAAAGCTTCTGCACAGCAAAGGAAACAATCAATAAAACTAAAAGACGACCTACAGAATGGGAGAAGATATATCTGCAAATGACATTATCTGATAAAGGGTTAGTATCCAAAATATATAAACAACTTACACAACACCCAAAGTACAAATAACCCAACTTAAAAATGGGCAGAAGACATGAACAGACATTTTTCCAAAGACAACCTCCAGACAGCCAACAGAGATGGGCAACAGACACAAGAAAAGATGCTCATTATCACTCATCACCAGGGAAATTCAATTCAAGGCTACAATGAGGGGCTCCTGGGTGGCTCAGTGGGTTAAGCCTCTGCCTTCGGCTCAGGTCATGATCTCAGGGTCCTGGGATCAAGCCCTGCATCGGGCTCTCTGCTCAGCAGGGAGCCTGCTTCCCTCTCTCTCTCTGCCTGCCTCTCTGCCCACTTGTGATCTGTCAAATAAATAAATAAAAATCTTAAAAAAAAAAAGGCTACAATGAGATATTACCTGTCAACACAAGAAACAAAAGGTGTTGGCAAGGATGTGGAGAAAGGGGAACCCTCTTGCCTGCTGGTGGAAGTGCAAATGGGAGAAGCCATTATAGAAAACAATATGAAAGTTCCTCAAAAAGTTAAAAATAGAGCTACCCTATGACCCAGCAACTGCGCTACCAGGTATTTACCCAAAGAATACAAGAACATTTGCTAATTCAAAGGGATACATGTATTCCAACGTTTACGGTAGCGGTATTTACAATAGCCAAGATACGGAAGCAGCCCAAGTGTCTATCAACTGATGAATGAATAAAGCAAGCACACACACGCGCGTGCACACACACACACACACCCTGGAATGTTACTCAGCCATCAAAAAGAATGACATCTTGCCATTTGTAATGACATGGGCTGAGCTACAGTGTATTATGCTAAGTGAAATATGTTAGTGAAAGACAAATGCCGTATGACTTCACTCATACAGGGAATTTAAGAAAAAAAAAATGAACAACCAAAAATAGAAACAAACCAAAAAACACTGTTAACTATACTGAACAATCAGATGGTTACCAGAGGGGAGGTGGGCAGGGGGGGGAATGGGTGAAACAGGTGATAGGGATTAAGAGTGCACTTAGCATGATGAGCAGGGAGTAATGCAGAATTGCTGAATCACTGTATTCTACATGTGAAACTAATAATAATACTCTTGTTAACTACACTGGAATTAAAATTAATAACTTGAAAAAAATTGGTCATTATTCTTTGTCATTATTCTGATAGGATCTCCAGACCACTCTCTACCTCCAATTTCCGTTCAAATTGTTCTGGATTTAACATAGCTTAAAAAAATTTTTTTGGACTGTCTCCATCCAATCACTTCACCAAATTCTCATGAACTCAACTCATTTTCTAGGTGAGTTTCCTAGACTGTCTAAGCATTCACATCATCTGCAAATAATGATTCTTTCTATATTTTTACTCTTCATTTTCCTACCTGCCTTAGCTAATGCCTCAAAAACAATGTTGAATAAGGATAACAATAAGCATCTTCACCTTATTTCTAGTTTTACTGGAAATGCCATATGTATTTTGCCATTTTGTGTAACATTAAGTTTCTGATAGTTTGTTATGTTTGGGTAGTTTCCCTTCTATTGAAATTTTATCTTACTTAAAAGACTTTTTATTAAGAATGCTAAATATCCCAAGCGCTTTGTCATCTGTTAATAGACTATCTTCTCTTTAAATAATTCATACAATCAATCATGTTGACAGATTTCTTAAGATTCCCATCTTTATGTTTCTGAGCTAAATCTTCTTTGGGCCTAATAGAGTTCTTTAAATAAACTGCTAGATTTTGTTTTACTATTTTTCCTTGAGAATCTTGTATATTCATCAAAATCAATCTTTAGTTTTCTTTTTGTACTACCTTAAGGATTTTAGTATTAAGGTTACTCTATCATAAAAGGAATGGGGAGCACTTTGGAACACTTTCTATTTTCTAAAACTGGTTAAGCAGGGTAATTATGTGTTTTTGAAATAAACATTTGCAAAGACCTGGTGCTTTTTTGTAATGGTAGTATTTTAATGGATAAGGGGCTTGCCTGTGGATACCCCCAGATGAGGAAATCCCCAACCCATCCCTTGAGAGCACTCAGAAAACCCTCAACTTCAGAAGAATTTTCCAGGCTCCCCCTAATGGTTGTTCTAATCCAGCAAGAAGACGGAAGGGGTGGGCAGGTATCTTCAGACATCTAACTTCCTCAAAAGCTGGACCATTTCAAATTAAATACTTTTCCATTCCCTAGAACGTCCAGCTGTCAATGTCACCACCTGCCTTCGGTGCTCTGCTTTGCTTTCACACACATGTGCAAGTCAAGAGTTGTTTTCCAAAGCCACTAGTAATGGTCCCTCCATACACCCAGCCGCTAATTACAACACTCTACAACTCCACGTACGGCATGTCTGGGTTGGTGGTTCTGCATATGCTTACATTGTTCTTCTCAATCCATATAAGGAAGTTTCAGGAGCCAGGGAGCCCGGTATTAGAGTGAATCACTCTTCTAAACTTTCCCTATAATCTTGAATAAATGTCCTTTGAACTAAGCTGAATCTTCCTCAGCTACAAAAGAGGAGCACAGCCACTTGATGCAGGGTTGAGAATTACACCTTAGGCAGAGAGTCTAGCTAACAATGCAAACATTATTTGACAACAATGGTAACGTTAGCTCCGTGTGAGTGAAACAAATCTGCCATGCTCTGATGAAACTGACCCCCACCCCGCCCCTTCTTAAAACTCTCAAAAAGCACATGTGAAATATATATCCTTCTTTTCCCTTTTGCCCACAAAACAATCACACCTACATTTCAATTGAGACAGAACTCTCTTCCGGCTTAAAAAATTAACATGCATGAACCATGAAATCAAATTTGGATGCCAACACATTAGGGAAGATGCAGTAGGGGTAAACAATTTACAGATCAACAAATTAAAGCAGTCGTCTGAATTGTTTACAAATCTGGAGATAGGCGGTGCCTGGATGGCTCAGTTGTTAAGCCTCTGCCTTCGGCTCAGGTCATGATCTCAGGGTCTGGATCAAGCCCTGTGTCAGGCTCCCTGCTCAGTGGAGAGCCTGCTTCTCCCTCTCCCACTCCCTCTGCTTATGTTCACTCTCTCGCTGTGTCTTTCTGTCAAATAAATAAAATCTTTAAAAAAAAATCTGGAGACATACTTCTATTTCCTTTTTTTTTTAAGACACACATTTAAGATCCTATTCAAATAAAATGTATTTGCTTGATTACCTTGTTCTAACAAGTACTGTAGATATAAGCACTGAACACGTGCATGCTCAAAATACAATACAAAACATATCCAACAAGCTGTAATGATTGGTCAACTTGCAAGCACAGTACAATTTAGGACAGAAACTAATTTGCTTAGCAAGAAGCAACTGCTGAGACGTACACAATTCACACAAAGAGTCTGAAGGGTAGCAGAACGCGCCACCTCAAAGTACGCCACTTTGGTATATTCCATTGAGCTGTAGGCACCTGAAAAACAGCAAATGGAGAAAGCAGCTTTCTGTGAACTCCCCTTCAATCTGCCTGAAGACAAATCCTTGGAAAGAAACTCCACTGTCAGAGAGCCTCTCCCTAGTGGATTCAACCAGGGAAGGGTGACCTCTATCACAGGACAAGAGATGGATACCACATCCAGACACGCTTAGTCACAAATATCATATACCTACCATGTCTACTCTTCCAAGGGCCCATTATTGTCCCTAAAAATCACTCACTTTCCCCAAGACACCTATGATCCCTTGCCCTATTAAGATGATATTTAAGGGACGCCTGGGTGGCTCAGTTGGTTAAGCAGCTGCCTTCGGCTCAGGTCATGATCCAGCGTCCTGGGATCGAGTCCCACATCGGGCTCCTTGCTCGGCAGGGAGCCTGCTTCTCCCTCTGCCTGTCTCTCTGTCTGCCTGTGCTCACTTGCTCGCTCTCCCTCTCTCTGACAAATAAATAAATAAAGTCTTAAAAAAAAAAGATGATATTTAAGCCTAAATTCTAAAGCGACCTCTGAGTTACTCACTTATCTCTGGGTCTCTCCCAAGCATACAAGAGAAACGTTACTCAACTGCTGATTTTCTCTTGTTAATCTGTCTTCTATCACAGGAGTCTTAGTCAAGATCTAGAAGGGCAGAGGGCAAGGGTGCTGATAAACCTGAGTCCATCTCTGGCCCTCTAATCTCGTTCATGTTTGCTCAATGACCTCTCTTGGGACTACATGTTCTGGAACCTTAGAGATTAATAGATGTACGTCAGAAATGCCTGCCCAGGAAGGCTGGGATGCGTTTTGGCTTCCCGTGAATCTGTTAGAGATAATGGTCTTTCCCCTTCCTCAAACACAGGTGGTGCCGTAAAATCTAATGAAAGCTTGATTAAAGGTCAGTTAGGTCAGTTAGGTGCACACATACCCAGTGAGGGTCATGGGAACAGTACACTCTGACTCCAGTGCCCTTCCTACATGTCCTCTTCCTCTATAACATCCGTGGACCACAGTCTGGACCTTGCAGAGAACAACTACGCAGCTGCTACGACCATCCTCTGCCCGATCCAGCTGGTCAGTTAAGCATCCCTGAGTAAAACTCGGTGTAAACTCTATAGTGTGGCCTCCTTTGTTTTCCGGGCACCAAGTGCCTAATCAGTTTGGGGGGATAATCTACTGTCCCTCCCCCACCTGCTAAAAGTAGGGGGAAAAGCTTTCCTTCCCTCCAAGATGATCTATGTATCTTCTTAACCAATTTCCCTTAAAGTTGTTTTAGGAAGGTACAATTCAAGTCAATAACATATTATTAGCGGACTTCAAAATGTTATCTAGAAAACATAATTACCTGATAGCAGTCTCCTTTAAGATTGTCTAAGACGTCCCCACATGTTTTTCGCATGTATTTCTTACATCCATCAATCACCATTTGGTCAATGTTCGAACAGGTCAAGGAGAAATTAATCCTGAATTTGGATCTATCAAAGAATTCTGAAATAGTAATAATTTAAAGAAAAGGCAGGGGCACCTGCGTGGCTCAGTCGGTTAAGTGTCTGACTCTTGATCTCAGTTCAGGTCACTATCTCAGGGTTGTGAGATCGAGCCCAGCATCCGGCTCAGCATGGAGTCAGCCTGAAATTCTCTTCCTCTCCGTCTGCCCCTCCCTATACTCTCTTTCTCAAATAAATAGATAAAAATCTTAATAAAGGTAAAACAAACATAAATTTTATAACACTAACTTGGGTCTCAGATTTATCAAAAAAAAAAAAAAAAGGAATGACACAACGATTTAATTTTTGAACCAAGGTCACTCAAAAAGAATGGAATTTTCTCTTCTCATGAAGAAGCCCTTCCAGAAAGTGATAAGCAGTAGACACGGTACCAAGGTTGCTTTCTTGTTTTCTCAACTAGAGGATCTCTGCTGCTTTGTCTGTAGCCATATAAAAAGGCTACTGGTACTAAATGGAATGTTTGTTCAAGGCAGTATTTATAAGGCATTTGCCTCATAACATTAACTGGAGTCTTAAGACAAAAAGAGGAAGGAAATAGAAGCCAACTGAACTTGACCTCCAAACAAAGGATATCTCTACCATAGTGACCATCTTTGGTTTCAGTTTGACTATTTCACATAATATGCCCCCATCTCCACCCCCAAGAATCAGCACGTCTTTGCCACTGTAGTCTTCTTTTCCACTGCCCATGATGGCCTGGGTATACGCCAAATCACTCTCTGCCAGATCTAGGGAGGAAAAACACAGGTACAAAATGGTAACTCTATCCAAACCCACACTGCGACCTGACTTGCCATCCTAGAAAGTGCTGGAATCTAGTCTAAAATTCAAATTTTTTTTCATTTTTGATCTTTAAAAACTGTCAACAATGTACAGAGGTACTTTTTTTTTTTTTTTTGCATTGTGGACTTTTCATCAACCCTACTCACCTGACACCTAATATATAACATACACATATACTTTGGTCAGCAGGAAAAAGAATTCAGTCTTAAGAATGTTCTGATATGCTGATTAAAAGCAATCACATCTTTTATTACATGAAACAGCATCTGAGAGTTGCTCCACGTAATAGGAAAGAGAAAAAAAGCAAACTAGGGTTTTGGGGAAACAAGACTGGCCAGGAGCTGCTAATTGTTAGCACTCAATGGTGAGTATACGCAGGTTCATCATACTGTTTTGTCTACTCAGGTTTGCAATTTTCCATAACAAAAAGATTTCTTAAAAAATAAGCAGGGGCACCTAGGTGGCTCAGTGGGTTAAAGCCTCTGCCTTCAGCTCAGGTCATAATCCCGGGGTCCTGGGATCAAGCCCCGCATCGGGCTCTCCTCTCAGGCGGGGAGCCTGCTTCCCTCTCTCTCTCTGCCTGCCTCTCTGCCTACTTGTGATCTGTCAGATAAATAAATAAAATCTTTAAAAAAAATAAACAATCATCTTTTCTTTATATGAGTATCATGCCAATACGCAACACTAAGTATACTAGGAAAAAGGAACATCAAGACCAAGTTTTCATGGCTCTGCCATAAAACGTGAAAGTCTAGGGGCACCTGGGTGGCTCGGATGGTTAAGTGTCTGACTCTTGGTTTAGGTTCAGGTCGTGATCTCAGGGTCATGGGTTGGAGCCCCGGGGTCCTGGTCGGACTCTGCCCTCTGAGTGGTGTCTGCTTCCCCTCTCCCTCTGCCCCTCCTCGCCCCCATTCACACATTCTCTCTAAGATTAAAAAAAGATAAAATCTTTCAAATAAAAATAAAACATGAAAGCCCAGACAATCCACAGGTTATTATGACATAAATGTTCCTTTCAAAAAAACAGCACTGCCAAGGACAAACTAGGACACATCCACAATGGTGCTCTTTGTCATGAAAGCACCATAATCTAAAACACTGTCACTTTGCTACGCTAAGTGACTAGGATACCTAACTAGGGTAGCTAGTTAGCTAACTAGGTAGCTACCTAACTAGGGTAGGGATGTAATACTTACTAACGTCCCCGCTAAGGATGAGAATATTCCCAAATTGCTTCGAGTGTAGAATTTTAATGTTCTGATAAGGTGAATCTTCATCATACACCACTTCATCTATGTCATACTCAACCAGGCGACCATCAGCGGTGGGCCAGTATCTGTCGATAGCTCCGCCTCGAACTATGGGTGGTAATCTGGAAAAAGGGAAAATAATAATGAGCATTTATAGAACACCGCTTACGGGGCCGCTATCTTAAAAGTGAACCTGGAGGGGCACCAGGGTGGCTTAGTCAGCAGATGATGCCATTGTTGACCTTGGGGTTATGAGTTCAAGCCCCATGTTCGGTGTAGTGATTACTTTAAAAAAAAAAAAAAAAAGTTTGGGGGGAAAAGCGAACCCGGAAACTTGAGTGTATAAAAGCAAGCCACGTGCCCTCTGATCAGTTCCAGAATAGTATACAAATGTAAATCCTGGGTCTTCAGCTATATACAAAACTGGACGACTAGCAAATCTCAGCAACTGTCATACATTAAGAGGTTACTTTTTTAATGAACCTTTCTGGCATGCCTTCAATTTTCCCTAAAAAAAAGGTTGGACAAAATGGCCACCTCAGACATCACACTTCAGTCCAAATACCTCAGCAGGAATCTCTGAGGACGGCTCACCCCACACCACGCTGCCACTACCATGTTCACACAAGTGTACGGGGGTCTAATACCATCATCTGGTACACAATCCACATTCAAATGCCCCCACGACTGTCCCAATCATGTCACTTACAGCTGTTCTGCTATTGAATGAAGGATCATATGCTGTATTTTGTTTTCCTTTTTTACCCTCATTTCATCTAGTATAGTTTTTCCACCCGGTGTGTTTCCTAACATCTCAGGGAAGTGCAGACCAGGTGCTCTGCAGAAAATGCCTAAGGTGGGTTTGCGTGAACACCTCTTTCTTCATTAAGTCAGGGGAGCAGATACTTCCACAAGCAGCACATCAGGGGCAGAAGCTGTGTGCTTGTCCTATCATTCGAGATGCTAAGTGTGACCAGTTGGTTCAAGCAGATGGCACTAGATCCCGCCAATTGCAAAGGTACCTTTTTTCCCCTGGACATTAGTAAGCAGCCTGGGGGTAGCCCTCTCAAACTGTGTGAAAGCCCTGATCTCTCAACAAATCTCCAGTAGTAACTTTGGCATCTAGACGATTCTTACCTGAATATATTATTACTACTAGAAGGACTGCAAACTGAGAATTTTCCATCCCATTCTTTTGCAAACGCTCAGTATTTCAGACAATGTGAATGTACTAGGAACTACCAGCAGAGGACACTAAATGACAATGAAAACCACAGCCTGAACTGGGGATTGGCAAATCTAACAGAAACACAAAATGAGAACTAGCTCCCTACCTACCTGTGTGCAAGTCATGTGTTCTCCAGCAACAGTAAAACAGCTGTATGCTGGGATCTGCTACCTCTGACTTGCTCTGGTGAGTCTCTGCCCTCCCACTCACCTGTTTCCAGGAATACAGTCTGAACCTGTTTTAATGAAGCTTCCTCTGAGCAAACACTGACAACCATAAAGAACATTAAGATTGGGGCGCCTGGTTGGCTCAGTCGGTTAAGTGTCCGACTAGATTTCAGCTCAGGACATGATCTCAGGGTCATGGGATGGAGCCCCACATCGGGCTGTGCGCTGGGTATGCGGTCTGCTGGAGATTCTCTCTCCTTTTGCTTCTGCCCCTCCCCCTGCTTGCATGTGCTCGCTCTCTCTCTCTGTGTGTATATATATATATATACACAGAGAGAGAGAGAGAGAGAGAGAGAGAGAGAGAGAGAGAGAGACAACATTCAGATTTACAAAGCAGATTCCCATTAATTCTCATTTAATCCTAGCAACTCCTGATTTAACCCCTCCCTGCACTGCTTAAGTGAACAAATGCAGGTGCTGGAATGTTCGCAGACCAGGCCTGTCTTGTAACATTTCAGACCCAAACAGGACCATACCTCCTCCCTCCCTGGCCCAGAGCAGGCAAACAGGACTTGGGGGAAGCCTCTTCCAGCCCTGGCTAATGGTTGGTGGCTACAGAGAGGTAGGAGCATATACTACCAGTGACATTAGATGAAGGTGAAAAATGCCAAGTCATGGGCTTTCGGGGGAGGAAACCCAGCCCCTGGTTGACAGGCAGCCAAGCTATACGAAATTACTAAACTATGCACAAACCCGATGAAACGAAATGTCCATTCTCAACTGTGTCACTAAGTGCCTTGGCTGAAGTAAGGAGCTCATGGCAACACAACGGTTTTCATTTGTTTTAATTTTATTATACTTTCTTAAGATTTCATCTTTAAGTAATCTCTACACCCAAGATGGGCTCCAACTCATGACCCCGAGATCAAGAGTCGCACGCTCGACCGACTGACGCAGCCCGGCGCCCGGCAACACAATGGTTTTTAAAGACTGGCAAAGAAACAACAAGGATCTCTAACAGGATGAGGAAGCCATTTATCTTGATGAAGTACTCATCCTAGCATGAAGGGCATCTCCTTGTAATGGGCTACCGGAGACATTCTGGAGCCCAGCACAACCCCTCTTTCAACCTTCACTGCTGAAAATTGAAGAGGATCGTAGAGAGCAAGTCAGACAGAGCAAGTCCTGGGTCTCAGGTACACTGTGCCTACCGCACTCTCCGTCAGCCCCGGCCCCGACCCCAACAAAACTTGGTGGACGTAAGCTTGTTTTCCTGTTCCTTTTCTTTGGAAAAATAAAATATAAAAATAACTTATCTAATGCACCTCATGGCTTTTTTTTTAAGATTTTATTTATTCATTTGACAGAAAGAGAGACACAGCGAGAGAGGGAACACAAGCGGAGGATGGGGTGGGAGAGGGAGAAACAGGCTCCCCGCCGAGCAGGGAGCCTGATGTGGGGCTCGATCCCAGGACTCTGAGATCATGACTAGAGCTGAAGGCAGACACTCAAATGACTGAGCCACCCAAGTGCCCCCATCCCATGGCCCACAGGGGAATAATGATTTCAGATAATGTTACGAGTTACTTGATGACTAAATTTCTAACCATATCATTCCCCAGACAGAAAAATGGCACCATTCTTGTCCTTTTGAGGCCAATTACAAAAAGCCTGCCACCAAGTACTCCCAGTAACTTCTGGACCCCTCTACCATGATTTTACGAAAAGCCGTAAGGAGCAATGACAAGCAAAAGCAAGGTCTGTATTTTGAACTGAAAATATGAAGCCGAACTCCACTCTCACTTGGAAAACTGCTATATCCGAAACAAAGACTTCTCGTGGGTGCCAAAACCCATAAATGTATTCCATCTACTTACTTACTCCTAGAAGTAACCCCAATAAAAGCAAGACCAATAAAAATCAGAGGCATTTTGATGTTGGCCAATTCATTATCACAGAGGTAACACATTTCAGAACACAGTGGGAACCCTCTGAATTCAGGTTGGTGCACATAGGTGTGCACCAGTCGAAGGAATGCTGAATACCTCCGCAAGCAGGGAAAGGTGGAAAGTCCAGAAAAGTGGACAGGTGTGGACATGTTTTTAAGGACGGGGAAGAGGGAAATATGGCTGAGGAGATGTACACTGAACTTAGGTGGGGTAAACAAACCTTGGTGCTCTGACCGACTTCCACAGTGGGCAAGTTGTACACTATTGTGTTCATTTACTGGCAGTTTCCTGCTTTCTACCCTATCAAGAGATTAACCAACATTCTAGTTGCCTTACATCAGCCCTGGAGCTTTCCTGTGGTCTGATAAAACTTAGCATGCTGAGCTAGTAAGTCCTCCACATACATCCTAGGTCTTGCCAAAATGAATGCCTGCCTCTGGAAAGTCCCGTCAACTAGAGAAATCTGTATTCTGGTCGCTTCCATCAGTGATGGCATGACCTTGATAAAGACCCTTTAGGTTTCTCTGTGTTTGCTGTTGTGAGTAAGAGACAGGTCTCCTACTTTTCAGGGCCTGCTAAGGAGCCACCCAGACAGGACAAGAGCAAAACTGGTGAGAATTACTTGTGGGGCATCCATAATTAACTCCTATTCTTAATTCCCAGGCCCCACGCAAGACTCTGTCCATTCCAACAAATGTCAAAGCTGTGACTTCTATCAAAGCTCTTTTAATATCTGTTGCCATGCACAAATACCATTGCAGTGTTCAAAAGAAATGTTCCATACCCACGCTGTGCACTAGCCCTTAGCTCCTGACAGGGGCCAGTGAGACTGAGGAATGGAACTCTTTTTATTAACTGAAATTTAAATAGCCACAGTCAGGATCAGGACACGGGGGCTTAACTGTCTTTATTATCATTTGAAAAGAACCAACCTGTGGCTGCTCAGGGTGGGTGGCCTCTCGGATTCTTAGTATCTTGCCAAGCAAGTCACCTTACTCAAAAGCTTTGAGGCAAATTTTCTATCACCCCATCTTGTCATAAATCTTAGAACTGAATTCCACTCCGGAGCCCAAAGCTCTGAGCAGAGACAGCAACCTTTTCACTTTACTGGACCAGGGTGGGGAGTTCTCTCACTCCCCTACGACTGAGGCGGAAGCCTCCCCCAGCTCCTCTGCCTTATACGCTTCCAGATCCTGATTCACTCACTATCTCCTCGCTATCTCCTTACTACCTTTGTTTCATTTTACACAGCGCATGTGTGCACACGTGTGAGTGCATGTGTATGTGTGTGTGTTCGTATATTTTGTCTTGTTTGGGTGTGAGGCATCCATTAGCTCAGTCTACCATGTTGGCCAGAAGCAGACACTACTCGGGCACAACACCACCATTCTAATTTTACCAGTTAAACAAATATAAAAGGATATTCAGGAGTGGACTTACCGCTTCACCCGCACAGTACTGTCCTGACTCAATTCTTTCATTCTTTCTTCTACTTTGTTCAAAAGCTACAATTCAAAGAAAAGAAGTCATTGGGCTTATAGAATAAGCTGAGTAGAACAGCTAAGGCTCCAGGAGGCTGAGGCCATGGTGACAGAGCTGGGCGATATTCCTGACCTCCCCCATCCCTGCAGCGGCCTCCAGGCCTGGCCCAGTTCCACACACCCACGCCAACCCGGCCTCCTGGTGCTAACCTCAGTTCAAGTCACCAGCAAGATAACAGGAAAGAGGAGAGCACAAGAATAATGCAGATATAACATCCTGCTCAAGGGTTTACATTTCGTCCAATGGAAAGTAAAATTACTCAGTTTTCAAGCAGCCAAAGGAACAAGGACAAGCCAGGTTCCTAACAATTGAGGAACCACTATTTTTCTTCTAAAATCACTTAGCTGGAGGGAGGAAAATTTAAACTTAACTGGGAGATCAGCACTTGCATAAAATCATCTTATCATTAAAAATATGAGATTTTATAACCCTCAAATACCTGTAATTAAAAATCAGTAAAAAAAAATTAAATAAAAGTAAATAAAAGTGAAAAACCAACACTGTCCACTTCTTGGCCCGGCGAATCACCGTCATAACTCTGCAGATCCAACAACACCAATCCATGCGGGTAAATTCTCAAACTGGCAAAGCTACAAAGGAAAGCATAATTTGAAGGTTAGGAATTGTATCATGGCATTCAAAAGAAGAAAAGACACCAACCCACCTAACTAAAAGGAAAGACCACTGCTCTTTTTTCCTCTACGTTACATGGTTAAGCCTTTGCTTTCTTACAAGAACATCTTGGAGGTGGGGAGCCACCAATCATATAGGGAAGATTTAGACACTCAGCAGATGCTAATGTTTTCACATAACAGGTTCTTGGGCCCCGAAAGTGATTCAGTAGCATGTTCGGTGAACCGGATTTTTCTCACCCCAACTCATAACCCCAAAATCAAAAGTCACATACTCTACCGATTGAGCCAGTCAAGTGCCCTGGTGAACCTGATTTTTTTTTTTTTAATCTTTTTACTTTATTGAGTGAACCTGATTTTTAAGAAGGTTCCTGGTACATAACTTGGCCAAGTTTAGTAACCACGGCCCTTCATCTTCGGGTCTTCCCAATGAACCTTCAGCGAGTTCACAATGGAGAGCCATGGTTTTCTGACTGCAAGCAAGGGGTGGTGAAACTGACTGAGATCAGGGTTGGCGCGCTCCAGCCCTACAGACTGCAAACCAGATCCAGCCTCCAAGACTTGTTTTTGTAAAGCCTGCAGACTAAGAATGGTTTTCACATTTTTAAGGAGTTGTTTAAAAGAGAGAGAATGTGACAGACTCTTATGCGGCTCCCTTCGAAACAAGCTTTCTGACCCCTAATTTGGGGGATCTCTGCATTTTTCTTAAAATATCCACGTGAATCACATGCAATCAAAGTCTATTATGTAGAGAAACTTCTGCTTCAATCATACATGTACCTCTACTGTACAGACACAGATGACTGTGTACAGGGTTATGATATAAATATACTTCTTGGGGGGGGGGCCTGGGTGGCTCAGTGGGTTGGGCCGCTGCCTTCGGCTCGGGTCGTGATCTCGGGATCCTGGGATCGAGCCCCGCATCGGGCTCTCTGCTCGGCGGGGAGCCTGCTTCCTCCTCTCTCTCTGCCTGCCTCTGATCTCTGTCAGATAAATAAATAAAATCTTAAAAAAAAAAAAAAACTTCTTGGGGTGCATGGGTGGCTCAATCGGTTATGGGTCTGCCTTCAGCTCAGGTCATTGATCTCAGGGTTCTGAGACCAAGCCCCACATCAGGCTCCCTGCTCAACAAGGAATCTGCTTCTCCCTCAGCCTCTGTCGCTGCTCCTTCCCCTAGTTGTGCTTTCTCTCTGTCAAATAAATCTTAAAAAATAAATAGGAATAAAATAAAATTACTTCCTAGTTTAAGTTGTGGTTAAAGAAACATTTGAAAAGTACTAAATTAGAAGAATTCTATAGGCAGCGCGCCTGGATTAAAAACTAAACACTACTAGTTAATTTCACTTTCAGCCTTTAAAGGGCCCCCATATCAAGTTCAGGTCCGGGAAACCACAAATAATTTACACCTGAATGAGCCTATCATTCCTTCCCCCTCCACCACCACAGCAAAGAGGAGAGGGGCTGGAGAGGAGTAAGGGTGGAGAAACATCACCCTCAACCACCGGGTGCTTCTAGTGCAGTCCTTTACCAATGGAGCGGCAGAACACAGGAGCACAGACAATGCTGAAGTTAAGAGCAAGTACAAAAAGCTCAAGGAATTAAAACCAGCCTGAGAACCAGGACCACACCATCAAAAAGTGGCTGTTAACCAGAAGTCAGGCCAGAAGCTGAGTATGGTCCTCCTGAGCTGGTGCCTGGTCGCCCAGGCAGGGGTGGGAGCAGTGAAGTTTCAGGACAGGCACCATGGGGATGGGCCCCAGGGGAGCAAGTGAGAGAAGAGGGAGACCAATGTTGAAAATACATTTTTAAACTAAGCATGTTAATTTTCATTTTTTTCTGCTTTCAGAAGCAATTTCTAAACAGCTCTTGTCATTCAAAATTCCCTTCCGGGAAGAATTCCAGGTCCCCCAGACAACTGGAAATGGTGTCTATGGTAGAAGATTTAAGAAGTGAGGCAGAGAAGTCGGCAGGGCCTGGCTGCAAAGGCATGAGATTCTAAGAGAATCAGGCTTCAAAGGGCCAACGGGGGTGGCGGGGTGGCAATGTGACATGGTTCGATTTGCTGTGGTCCCCGAAGGATGGACCACATCCAGGACAGCAAGAGACCTTGGCAAAGAAGGTGGAGAAAAGAGGCCAGGACGCAGAGGGGCTGAATGGAAGCCTGCAGGAGCTGGAAGGGATCAAGGACAGCTTCAAATCTCCACTTGCAGGAAACGTGCTATTAACTGGACCAGGACACAGGAGGGAGGAGAGCTTGGCAGTGGTGTTGCTTTGGGATTACCCTTGAGAAAAATTATTTTAGATACATGTGAAGTATCTGTTAAACACATGCGTGGACATTTGCTACATAGTTACAAATACAAATCTGGGCGTGGCGAGAGACAGCTGGGGAAGTCTTTGAGAGGCATCAAGAGAGGGAAGACCAATTATCCCCGCGGGGTGGAGCATGTTGACTTAGAAAGAGAATAACAAAAGGGGACACTCAGAAGTTCAAGTTTCCCTCATCTCCAGCATTGCCTTTTGGGCCTCTGAGGTTGTGGGAGTGGTTATTTTTCCTTTTAAGAGAGAAACAAGGGAGAGAATGTGGGACATTAATGAAACCGTATGGAATTCTAGTACTTTGTACCCACTGGGGGAAATGGAATTAAAGCCACTGAAAATACCCAAGAGTTCACATTTTAAAATTAATAGTGCAAATTACAAAGAATCTTACTAGTTCTGCATACTAAACCAGTCTAGATAGAATACAAACCTAGACTTGGGATAGCACAAAGAGCTCAACACTCTGGGGTCTTCTATTATCGGTCAATTCTTAATTTAGGTTTCCTTTCCTATTCCCACAAAATATTGGCTCTCATGTACATATTGATTAGGTAAAGTCTGGATAGTCTATAAAGGTCTTAAGGAAAAGAAAAAACCAGCCTGAAATCTTGGACCTCCTCAGCTTCCTGTCCCCCTCCCATTGCGCATTTGATAATGGTCTGCATTAATCACTAACAACTTCTACCAGGGCTATTCGCAGCGTGGTCAGCTGACCACAGACCAGCAGCACCAGCTTGCTGAAAATGCGACGTCTGGTGCTGCCCCAGAGCAGCTCCATCAAAAAACTCTTAGATTGGGGCCCGGGAATCGGGTTTAACCACCTCTGAATCGTGGCCTGCAGTTCACACTGCTTCTGCTGCCCAGGGGTTCTGGGTCCTGACCACACAGCAGAATCACCTGGTTTGGGGGGGGGGGCTTTGGAAAAATCCTGATGCCCGGTGACCTCAATGTCTGGGAGAGTGACTGGGGTAATGTCGTGCGAAAGCACTCCCGGGGGATTCTACTGTGCAGCGAGGGTTATGAAGCACTGAATTCTAGCCCCCCTAGCGTGAAATAGATACCTGGACACTACCCCTTCCCCTTTGTCGTCAGTCCGACAGTCCGGCTGGCCGGCCCCGCCCCCCCCCCGCCCCCACGCCCCACCAGCTGAAGTGCTCAGATGCGAAGGCCCCTCACCTGCCATTTTTGTTGATATAGGTCGCTAGATAACCATGGTCTTGCCAGTTGTGCACGGACTCCGTCATCCCTTGCTCCTGGAAAATGGACTGGAGGCCTTTCAGAATGGTCTCGCCATCAGCTGGAGAAAGAGGGAGAGAAGGCAAGGTGGTCAGGATAAAACACATCCCAAAGGAAAGCCAGTGAGGTGCGGTTTGATGACCGAACTTGGTAAGAAAACCTGAACACAGGGTTGCCGGGGTCACTTCGGCCCGTCATGAGCTATGAAGGTTCTCAACCCCATGAGGAGAGGCTACGTGGATTACCAGGTTACACAAGACAGACACAAAAACACCAAGCACAAAGTTATTGTGCCAAGGATGCAGACAGGTTTTCAGCCAACCAGAGATGACACAACACAATGTTTAGCTATGCACTGTGACCCGCACTGTGACCCCATTCGCGGCCAGTGGCCCATTTCCCCCTCTCCCTCCCCATCCACTCCCCAAGGGAAGCTCGGTATCCCTGCGTAGGACTTCGGTCAAGGTTATAGAAATTGCATTAATCTCTGCAGGTTCACATGAGGCCAGAATCTTCAAGGACATCTAAAATTATGACGCCTACGAGGAAAGGCAAGATGCAATTTGTTCTCCTCTAGTTCAATCTGCTAAGCACTCACTGCCTGAGAAGGGTAAGGTAAAGAACAAAGAGAAGACAAAAGGGATTACTCTGTACCGTCCCACAAGCCCTCCACGGGCTGGTGCTTTTTCCACATGACAGAAAAAAAAACAGTGTAGGCTGCAAAGCGTCAAAATGGACAGTATGTACAAAGAGTGTATCTGTGACCCGAACCAAGGCAAAAGAAAAAAACAAAATGATTCACAGCTGACCGCAGTGTGGTTTCACCAGAAAACTCACACTAGAATTCCTTCCATAAACTAAGGAGTGCCAATGCTTGGACTAGACGTTAAGGAATTTTTCCACCCTACTTAGAATCTATCTCCAGCGATGTCTGGAACGATGCTCCCAAGACCTTCCAGAGCACAGTAAGAATGAAGACCACAAACTGCGTTCAGAGGCCAAACTGGACAGGAAATGTGTCTTAGTCTAGCAAGCACAGACTTTTCAAAAAACTCCGAAGTTAGCTGCCACTTAAAACCAGACTTCAGGGGGCGCCTGGATGGCTCAGTGGGTTAAGCCTCTGCCTTCGGCTCAAGTCATGATCTCAGGGTCCTAGGATCGAGTCCCGCATCGGGCTCTCTGCTCAGCAGGGAGCCTACTTCCTCCTCTCTGCCTGCCTCTCTGCCTTCTTGTGATCTCTGTCAAATAAATAAATAAAATCTTAAAAAAAAAAAACAAAAAACAGACTTCAGGGCACCTGAGTGGCTTAGTCGGTTAAGCTTCTGCCTTTGGCTCAGGTCATGATCACAGGGGACCCAGGATCCAATCCAGCCCTGCCATCAGGGTCCCGGCTTAGCAGGGCGTCGGCTTCTCCCTTTCCCTCTGTTCCTCTCCCTGCTGTTGTTCTCTCTCTCTCTCAAATAAATAAAATCTTAAAAAAAAAATTCCACCTACCCCCCACAGTAGTGGGTGGAACGGTGGCCCCCAAAAAGTATGTCCACATCCTGACCCCCAGAACCTGGAAGTGTGACCTGATTTGGAAAAAGGGTTTTGCAGACGTAATTATAGATCCAGAGGTGAGATCATCCCGGATTATGCAGGTGGGACCTAAATCCAAGGACAAGTGCCCTCCTGAAAGAAGACGAGACACAGGGATAAGAGCAGCAGGAGCTCCTGCTAACAGCTGCAGGCCAGAACACCAGGAGCCCCTGCAGCCGGAGGATGCAAGGAAGGACTCTCCCCTGGAGCCTTTAGGAGGACCATGGCCCTGCCAATAATGATTCTGAACTTCTGGCCTCCAGAACAGGGAGAAAATGTGTCTGTTCCTGTAAGCCACATGATCACAGCACTTGTGCCAGAGCTCTGGCAGACGGATACACCCACCAAAATCGGTACTTTCAATTTCACTTAACAAATGATGACAAACGGCGTAGCAAAAATGGCAGTGAAGGCATCACTTTCTAATCCTTTGAGTCAAACCGAACAGAGCTATTAGGACAGCACAACCAAAACTCATGGACGACATTTAAAACACAACTAGTTCAGTGTGCAGCTCCAAGCCCTCACACAGCAGCAGGGACACACAAGTGGGTCACAACAGGGGCCTGTATGGTACCAGCCACTGCGTGAGATGAAGTAAGAAAGCAAAGGGACTTCAAACTTCGCACGACAATACCAGCTGGGGTTCACCCACCAGGAAGGCATCTCCTCCTCTAAGAAGGCAGCACCCAGGAGGCCACAGTGAGAGAGAGCAGGGGACCGGGGTAGAGCCAGAGAATGTCAGGGTGGCCAAGCCCTCTGCCAGCTGAGCTGCGGCTGCACCCGGGAAAAGGCCCCTCATCAGAGAAAGGCTCCTGGGGCGAGCGCACACCACGCCCTCATCGCAACACAAGCACCGACCTCACATCTTATTAGTGTCGCTCAGTTCCAGCAAAACTGTGTCTTTGGGGAAACTCACTGAGAAAAGAGCTGGCTTCACGATTCTGAAAGTGGTTTTAGGAAATTAAAAGGGGGAAGCTTGACTTCTATCCTCTGAATGATACGCAGTTTTAAGACCGAAATCCACTTCCTAAAAATTTCCAACTTCAAACTTCATAAAAAGAAGGGACCTCGTGGGGCGCCTGGGTGGCTCAGTGGGTTAAGCCTCTGCCTTCAGCTCAGGTCATGATCCCAGAGTCCTGGGATCAAGCCCCGCATCGGGCTCTCTGCTCAGCAGGAGCCTGCTTCCCCCCCCCTCTCTGCCTGCTTGTGATCTCTGTCTGTCAAATAAATAAATAAAGTCTTTAAAAAAAAAAAAAAAAAAAGAACCTCGTTCAGTCTGTCTGCCACTGAAGCCTGCTGGGGACAAGCTACGAGGAAGTGACTGAGCTGCAGGGCGGTAAAGACAACGTGCCCAGCATGGCCGAGTCCCACTGAGCCCAGCGCTACTTGCCCTGAACAAGAAAGCCACTATGTCATTATTCAACCCCTCCTTGGCTAGAACACACGTTTTCTGTTTTGAAAGTGTATAAAACAAGTCATCAATCCTGGCAAATGGCCGCAAGACCGGGTTCTGTTGGCACATTACAGAACACAAATCCCCTATGCTGGTGAGGGGGACCCTCCAGACAGGGCCACCCCATGCAGGGAAGGCGGATCTCGGCCCCAGGGCTGAGGCGGAGCAAACTCTCCCTTGGGCCAGGGAAAGGGGTGTCTTTGTCTAATACACCGAAAACCCTTGACTGCCCGCCAAACGCAGCATGGCAGCCGCCCCCTTTTTCTAGCAGGCACAATTAGTGGAAAGGCACTGAGGGGGCCAGTGGAGGCCCTCCAACCAGGTTTCAAACCGAAGAAAAACATATTATGACAGAAACCCAATGGAGAGTATTATGTATTTCTATACTATGGGCTTGCCCCTCAGTCCAAAGAAATCTGCCAGGTCTGAATGTTATTTCCGGCTGTCACCTCTGCCTGGTCCCTTGTGGGCACTCAATGTGCCGGCCCTGCGGGGGATACACTGATGTGCCTTTCTGCACTCATTGTTCCCAGCCCTTGGAGAAGATTCCAGAAAGGGGCTCCAGAGCAGAAACTGCCCAGCAACTCTTCCAGAACCACGGTTTGAAAATGAAAACAAAGCCAAGGACATGAGCTCCACTAGGTTCAACAATGAGGCTTGCTTGGTCATTTTTTTTTAAAGATTTTATTTATTTATCTGACAGAGAGAGATCACAAGTAGGCATACTGGCAGGCAGATAGAGAGAGGGGGAAGCAGGCTCCCCTGCAGAGCAGAGAACCCGATGCGGGGCTCGATCCCAGGACCCTGGGATCATGACCTGAGCCAAAGGCAGAGGCTTTAGCCCACTGAGCCACCCAGGTGCCCCTTGCTTGGTCATCTTGCTCTCAGGGGCTCAATAAATGTTTTGTGGTAAATGAAAATTTATTTTAGTTGGCTAAATTAATCAACCATATTGCTGTATCTTTGTAGAGTGTCTAGAATGTCTAAACCAGAGGTTTTCAATCCTACCAGTGCATTATAATTACCTGGGGAGTTTTTTAAAAGTGGTATGTCACATCCTAGACCAATTAAATAAAAACCTGAGGGTGAGAACCAGGCATGAGTATTTTTCAGAGCTCCCTGGGAAATTCCAATGTACAGCCATGGTTGAGAACCACTGAGCAAAACCACCAGATACAAGAAAGAACAAGAAATCCCCACTATTTCCAAACTCATTAGTCGAGTCACCAAAAGGTTATAAAAAATGTTGAAAAGGGTCTGAAAAGGCCTGAACTCCTTACTAACAGGTAGCCTCTTATTAGCCAGTAGCCTTGGATATGCCCCAGAAAATGCTTTGCAGTTATCCAATTACAACCTTCATGTCTGTCTAGTAAGAAACATGTAATATGACCAAACACAATGTACTTCACTGTATCGGGGTCCCTCAACTGGAGCTGACGACACGTGGTGTGAAGGACTGTCTTCTCCCTCACGTGCCTTTGGCAATCCCAGTCATACACACTACATGTGGGTAGTATCTCCACTCTGTTTAAAGAGAGAAAAAAAAGACCCCACACCCCCAACTGCCCGGAGGGTGGGGTTGGGCAGAAGCATGGTGGGAAATCCCTTGAAAACTACCAGATGCTCCATAGGAGTGAAAAGAAGCCTGGGGTCAGAGCATGCCCAAATGTGGGAACACCAGACTGCAATGTCAGAAGCAGCTACAAACCAGAAAATCTGAGAGTAAATTCAAATGCTAAAGAGAGATAATCACAGGGCTTTCAAGTACCCATGGTAATCTAAACGAGGCTAACAAAACGTTTGGCAGAAGTTCTTAGAAAACTCTGGCCAGGCAAGAATGATGTGCAATTCTTACACGACTCGGCCTTCCAAAGTGCTCAGCAACACAGTGAGCCGTCCCAGGGCAAAATGTGTCCTTTGTCCACTAGACAACTCAATGTCCCCGTTTCTAGACTACTGCCCGCTCTGTGTTTATTCAACAATAACTTAAAAAGAACCAACTTGGAGGTCTAGTCCAAATTAAATAC